AAACTTAGCTCAATTCCCATTTTCATCATTTCGAACCCTCAGCAAACTTAGCTCAGTTCCCTTTTTCCATCATTTCGAACCCTCAGCAAACTTAGTTGAATGGCCATAATTTACATGATGTTACAAAATCAAACCCAGCATTTTCTGGCTGTTTGTGATTTTACAAGGCAGTTTTGAGTTCAGCAGTTTGCCACTGCTTTCTGAATGATCAGCTCACCAAACTGTAGTTGAAACCAACACAAGGCAGTTTTGAGTTCAGCAGTTTGCCACTGCTTTCTGAATGATCAGCTCACCATACCGTAGTTGAAACCAACGCAAGGCAGTTTTGAGTTCAGCAGTTTGCCACTGCTTTCTGAATGATCAGCTCACCATACCGTAGTTGAAATCAACACAAGGCAGTTTTGAGTTCAGCAGTTTGCCACTGCTTTCTGAATGATCAGCTCACCATACCGTAGTTGAAACCAACGCAAGGCAGTTTTGAGTTCAGCAGTTTGCCACTGCTTTCTGAATGATCAGCTCACCATACCGTAGTTGAAACCAACGCAAGGCAGTTTTGAGTTCAGCAGTTTGCCACTGCTTTCTGAATGATCAGCTCACCATACCGTAGTTGAAATCAACACAAGGCAGTTTTGAGTTCAGCAGTTTGCCACTGCTTTCTGAATGATCAGCTCACCATACCGTAGTTGAAATCAACACAAGGCAGTTTTGAGTTCAGCAGTTTGCCACTGCTTTCTGAATGATCAGCTCACCACACCGTAGTTGAAATCAACGCAAGGCAGTTTTGAGTTCAGCAGTTTGCCACTGCTTTCTGAATGATCAGCTCACCATACCGTAGTTGAAACCAACGCAAGGCAGTTTTGCCACTGCTTTCTGAATGATCAGCTCACCATACCGTAGTTGAAACCAACGCAAGGCAGTTTTGAGTTCAGCAGTTTGCCACTGCTTTCTGAATGATCAGCTCACCATACCGTAGTTGAAACCAACACAAGGCAGTTTTGAGTTCAGCAGTTTGCCACTGCTTTCTGAATGATCAGCTCACCATACCGTAGTTGAAACCAACGCAAGGCAGTTTTGAGTTCAGCAGTTTGCCACTGCTTTCTGAATGATCAGCTCACCATACCGTAGTTGAAATCAACACAAGGCAGTTTTGAGTTCAGCAGTTTGCCACTGCTTTCTGAATGATCAGCTCACCATACCGTAGTTGAAACCAACGCAAGGCAGTCTGCTGCCACATCACTGCAGCAGGGAATTGAACTGAGTATTTCGGAATTATGAAGCACAGTTACAACGCCTAAGCCATAGATGCCAAGTTATCCCATAGATTTGTATGCAATTGTTGTAGAACAGATTTCTGGCTCTAACTGCATGATGATTCGTTCTAATCTGTTAAATTCGAAGGACATCTGGCATCTAGTGCCTTCAATAAACTGTCCAACATCTGGAAATCAAAGACACTTAGCAAACACACAAAAACTCAAGATCTTCAATTCTTGTGTGATTCCAGTACTAACCTATGGATGCGAGAGCTGGAAATCAACGAAAACTAGACACTTTTGAAAATAAATGCCTTAGAAGAATACTAAATTTCAAATGGTCAGATTTCCAAACCAATGCACAAATAAGGCAAGAATCCAGGCAAGAGTATGTGTCTAATTTTATACGAAAACGTCGCTGGAACTATGTTGGCCACACCCTTAGAATGGATAAATCAAGACTTCCTTACCAAGACCTCATTTGGGCACCACAGGGGAAAAGATCTCGTGGAAGACCAAGGAAAACCCTACGTAGAACTATCATCAGGGAAGGCTCGCTCATGGGCCACTCAAACATCCAAGACCTACAACAGATTGCAATGAACCGCCATGCATGGAGAGTCATGACCTCTGCCCTATGTGCCGCACTCGACACAAGAGGAAAGACTAACTAACTAACTAACCTATCCAGTTTTTACCGTTAAATGAGTAAGAACAAAAAGTAAAGGACCCTTTTCCACATCTTCAGGTGTCTTGGGCATATAGGGCTAGACCTATACTTCACAGACCAATCAACAGGGGTGGGTGATGTCGTCAACATCAAGCAAGCCACCTTTACTTTCCAGGAATACATCTGGTAACCACTCAAGGCTGGGTAAAGCTGAGAGCCAGAGTCATTTCTGAAGAAAAGTCCGGTTCTGTTCGGATTAGAACCCATGACGTTTCGATACGCTGGCGATGTGTCTAACTGCTAACTGCTCCCGGTGCAAAGGGCATATGGTGCTAAATGAATATTTGTATAGAACAATCAGCAATCTGTAGGCCAAATTAATTTGGGAAATAAAGGAATTCAGGAATGTTTAAAAAACTATGTTATGGGTAACGAGAAAAGATCCACTTAGGAACAATGATATCAAAAGCAGAGTTGGCACAGACCCAATACTGTACTCTATAGCTAGACAACAGATCAAATGATTTGGCCATGCAACATGACTGGCATCAGAGAGGGCACAACAGAGAGCAGTGTGATTCAGATACAGTGGTAACAGATCCAGAGGTTGACCACGCAGAAGTGGACTGCATAAATATCAGAGTACTATATATGAAGTGAACAGAAAGGCCCATTTCAATGATCTCTTCCTGCCCTGATGCCGCGAGGCATTCCAGGAGTAGAGAAAAGGAAGCAAGGATATTTAAAAGAAACCCAAAAAAAAAGAATGTTGATGAGAGAGGCCAAAGGTGCTAGACTGGGTTCCACTGACGGTATCAAAGAGATGCATAGGATACAGTGTAATGAAGGAATAGACTATGAGCCCGGTACAACCGGACACTGATGATGGTAATGGCTTAATAGGTGATGTGGTCAACATAACACTTGCCATCTTTACTTCCCAAGACACTTTCTAGTACCCAAACTAGACTGGGTCAGACAGGGAGGTCAGATCAATGACAACTTTTTTCCCTGACACTGCCACAGATATGATCACTTGTGAAGTCAACAGATATGATGAAAGTCACCTCGCAGCAGGTAATGCAAGTTTTAAAAAAACGTTGCTTGGGATCATACTGATGCAGATGAAATGTATGAATTCACAGGCTTTCAGCCTGGTATGGGAATGTGTTGTAAACCAGCTAAAAATTGGAAAAAGATTATGGTTTCAAAACATCTCCTGAAATTTCTATAAATAGCCAAAAATTCAAGATGGCCACCATGATCATGTGATCTTTGCATAAAATAACTTTCTTTTCATGTGTTGAAATGTTCATAATGGTGCTCTGAAGGCTGCAAAAATCCTACGCTTGTTTGTAATTGTTTGAAGAATTTCATTAGAAAACCAGTCATTCTGAAATAAATCTGCTAACATCCATGGTAATGGGTGACAGCAATGCACCAGATTGCTGGTCAACAAAGTGTTAATGAACCTAGGCTGGTAACACACCTATTACAGGGAAATACAAAAACAATCATTTTCAACTTCAGAGGGTTTATAACATCAAATTTTTTTCTCTCCCTTATCTGAGAAGATGAGGTAGGATCTACAGTGACAACCAAAGGAGTATTTCATTAGTTGCTATATTTGGGTAGAATAATGATTGCCTTTCTTTTTCCTATAGTCCGTGGCATTGGTAGTCATGTCTACCCACAACCTTCTGTCTCGTGTACTTTCAATCCACTTTGACAGAGATGATTACCCATGCTGTGATTTTAAACCGTGCCGCCTCTTCTCCTATGGTCTCCATCTGCCTCCTTTCTCCTCCAAATTTCTCACTGTCATGATGTATTCTAGTTTACTCCTGCTCACGACACGACCAAAGAATGTAGATTGCCTCCTTCAGATGTAGGCAATCAGTTCAAATGTCTTTAGTGGGCCCTAAAATAGCAGTTGATTCAATACTCCTTAACATCACCGTGTGGGATCCAGGGCCCCATTGGGGGAGGGGGGGGGGGGGACAAGGATAGACCTACTGCCTCCCCTAAACGCATGTTGTAGGAGTTGACTAACCGGGAGCTTCCTCTGAGCGGCAAGGCACAACCGATTGCATAAAAAGAAGCCAGTAAAACGAATGTGCATGCAAAATTCAGGCCCAGGGAAGTCAAAACGGAAGAACAACCAGGACTTTCCGCCACAGCTTACAGCTGTTGGATACAGAAAAATAAGAATACTCCCCAACAGTTGGGAAAACAAAATAAATTATTTACTATGTGGTGTTAAATTTTGTGCCACCACAGTTATCACCATCATCATCATACGCCCTGCCAACTGGCGTAAGGCGCTCATGCGTCTCCACAGATCATGATTCCTCGTTGCCTGGAACAGCTCTCTTGACAATATCCCTTCATGCCATCGTTTCAGCCCATCCAGCATCATCTCTCTTGGTCTGCCTCTACCCCTTTTTTTCCACTGATCTTACCACAGTACTACCCAGAGATTAGGAGATAGTATGACACTCTCAAGCTTCACTTTTGCTGGTGCCATTAGAACTGAAACTATGCGCTTGCTGCTGAACATGGAGACGGAGCGCTTATGAGAATATCCTGTGTGCGCTAATGTAGATTCTTTAGTCAACATTCAAGCTTCACTAACAAAATGGACTCTGAAAGTGAAACCGGAGACTTCAGGTTACACTGTGTTTACATACACACTCATTTATTTTTATATGAGGTTTCAACTGATACAAAATTAAAAAAGAAACGCATTACAACTAGAACATTTACCCGCCTTTTACATACTAAAAACAACATTTGAGCTCATAATTTCTTGTAAATTCTCTCTCTTCTTATCTGTATCTATCTACATGCTTCGATTCTGCCAGTCACTCACTATTTCTAATCTGTACAAACATATAATACACACTTTCAACTTTATGAACAGCTGCACAATTGTCAAATGACTAACTTTAAAATTATTCTAATGCAACAGGGGCATTTCACAACTTGGTTTCATGAAAGATAGAGTGAAATTTAAAAAGGAACTATGCAGTCTCATAATTTGAACCTATGTAGAACTAGAGAAGGAGATCCCAATCTCAGGTGTCAATCACATGTTTCAGGGCCTGTGGATACAAAGGTAATAAGTCGGATTAATTTACTCACATGAGTTATGTTTAGATTTAAGAGTTATCACAGTTACCAATGTCCAGAAGTGGCTTAGTAGAATTTATGTGTCAGATGTAACTGACCTGTAGCACTGCTAGAAATTATATGGTGTCATTACAGTGTGTTAACATATTTGTGACCAGTCCCCACTGCTAGAATATATATGGTGTCATTACAGTGTTAACATTTCTGTGATCTGTCCAACTATAAAAATTATATGGTGTCATTACAGTGTGTTAATATATTTGTGATCTGTCCAACTTTAAGAATTATATGGTGTCACTACAGTGTGTTAACATATCTGTAATCTGTCCAACTATAGAAATTATATGGTGTCATTACAGTGTTAACACATCTGTGATCTGTCCAACTATAAAAATTATATGGTGTCATTACAGTGTGTTAACATATTTGTGAAATGACCAACTATAAAAATGTGCATGGTGTCATTTTAGTGTGTTAACATAACTGTGATCTGTCCAACTATAGAAATTCTTATGGTGTCATTACAGTGGCACAGTCATCTGAGATCAGCACTAGCCATATATGGTGTAAATTACAGGCTCAAAACATATCTGTGATCCCTCCAACCCAAACATAGGGTGTCATTGGCAAGTGTGTAGCATATCAATCTGTCTCAACTATCAGAAATTATATGGTGTCATTCATTTAGTTCTGGATCTTTAAATCTTTCCAACTATAAAAAATGATATGGTCCCTGCACAGTGTGTTTTACAGATCTGTGATCTGTCCAACTATAAAAAAACTATATGGTGTCATTACCTCTAACACATCTGTGATCTGTCCAACTTAAAAATTATATGGTGTCATTACCTAATAAGTCATCTGTTATCGGGGACAACAGGGAAATTATTCTTTTTCCCTCAAAACAGACCTTAACAATCTGTGATTCTGTCCTACTAAAAATTATATGGTGCCATTACATATATAACATACACTGAATTTACCTGTGACTAGAAAATGTGCAAGGTTATTTTTTTTTAAAACAAACCTTGATCTCCCAGGTCAAGCCTAATTCTTCTTCTTAGCATTCATGGGCACAGTCATGGAGACAGCACTAGCCATGACCGTAAGTGCTGTTTGGTCTAAAATACAAGTCCCCCCCTATACACCCAACGCCTCAAAGGCAGTAATTGGCAAAGGGTAGCCTGCAAAAAAAAAAATTTTTTAGCAAACATTCTGGCCTTATTTACAGAACTTGAAAACTTTTTACTGAACATACTGTTTTTCCATGCACTAATTTGGTTTTACAGATGTGGCTTTTTTATATGCCAACTACTGGTTTCTTGCCTCTAAGGAAGATGTACTCCGACTTTGAAGAAAACCTCCCTAATAAGTCATCCCCCCCCCACCATGCCTGTTACGGGGACCAGGGATTTATTCTTCGTGTAAAAACAGTTTTGCAGAACATCGCTCATGGGAATGTACTAGAAAGAAACCAATGCCATCACATATATTACACTGTACTTTCATGTGATTTAAAGTGGGACTATTTTTATGAAAAACAAGAAAATGGCTCCCAGGTCAAGCCAGTCTTGGTTATCGTCATTGACAGTCCTGGGAAGTAAATATGGCTGCTGTGATGCTCCCCCAGTATGAACCACCAAGTGCTGTTTGGTCTATACAATACAAGTCAATCCCTATACACCCATTACGCCTGAAGGAGTGGAAAAGGGTCCATAAAAAAAAAAAAATTTTTTTATGTAATCTGCCTTATGATCAGAAATTGAATAGTGTCAGTATTACTGAAATACTGTGTTTACATGCAAACTAATTGGTCCACTATCAGAAATAACATACATTTGCTCCAACAACACCTAAACTAGCAACATACTGAGATCCAGCCCCCCCCCCCTCTTTCAGTTTCCATCGATCGTGTAGCAGGTGTTTTGCAGAACATCGCTCTTATCAATGTCTCCCTGAAAGAAACCAACTCTCCTGCCTCGTGTACTTTCATATTTAAAGAGTCACTATTGTATATGAAAGCCATAAAATCTGTTGTTCACTAGTTATCAAATTGAACAGTGAAGGCTACTTTGTGTGATTTCCACTGGAAATGGAACGGAGCAGAGCCACTTTTGTACAAAAGCCATGACATTTTTTGTTCACTAGCCTTCAAGTGGTACAGTGAAGGCTTATTTACTAATATTTTAATAATTACTACTTTATAATTACTAAGGTATCTGTGGATTAGATGTTGCGAAAGTGCTTCATAATGCCGGATATGATCCTAGCTGCAGGTGATTTGGCAGCAGACTGTCTTGTGTTGGTTTCAAAAGTGGTGCCGAGAGTCGACCGTTGAGATAGCAATGGTGAACAACTGAATGTAAACTTGCCTAGAAAAACCACAAATGCTGGGGTCTGGTTCTGCAATGTCGTGTAAACGATACGTGAGTAACTAACAAACTGTTGCCCGTAACAACATCCAAGCCCATTGGTCCAACACATTAGAGCTCCAGCCTCTGATCAAGTAGCCACCTCAATATCTATGTGCTTTAAGTTACTTAGTATGAATTGATTGGCATTTCCTAATTCTTTACCTCATAACCTGTTTCTGTAATCTTTTCCTGATTTATTACCCATTTCCAACCAGTGGTTAATCTTTTCTGACCCCTCTATCTCCAAGTCTCTAGAAAGCAGCACATTCAGTATGTCTGCCATGTCCATATTTCTTCCTTCACCAGCCACTGCAGACAGTGCCAATCTGTCGGCTCTTTCATTTCCTTTCACTCCGGCATATCCCAGTGTGTACGCCAAGATAGTTTCTTGAGGTGGGACTTCTGAATGCTGTCAACCCATTCTATGTGAAGTTTACATGCTCTGCACAACTGCCAGTGCTGAAGAACATGTATAAGCACAGCTGGAGTTATGCTTGTAAAGGCGTTGGTGATGGTGATGTATTTATTTTTCCTATGTATGGAAACTTATGGGACACCCAGTATATCATCATGTGGCAGGTCCTTTGCAGAACATTGCTCTCCTTACAGTCTGCCTGATAGAAACTAGGTGCCTGATAGAAACTAGGTGCCTGATAGAAACTAGGTCTCTCGCCAGCTCTCCCACCTTGTGTACTTTCATCCAAGGAGTCACTTATATCCTGTTCCAATCTTCGTGTTGGCTATCATTGTGTCCAATCCTTCATGGCGCTTGATATGACCAAAATATTTAAGCTTTTGAGACACAATGCTGTTTATTAGCCAATCTTTCTTGATGGTCAAATCTTCTAAAATGTCAGTATTTCTTTTCTTCTCTGTCCATGGTATTCTGAGAATCTTTCTATAGCATTTCAGCTCAAAAGCTCCATTTTCTTTCTTAAGGACTGGCAGATAGTCCACGACTTACATCATTATGTAGCTACAGAGAAAATGCATGCTCTCAAAATGTTAGTTTTGATTTCCTTGCTGGTGCTCAACCAAAAGCTTTTAAGGCTGTTTTGATATGGCCATTCTTCTTTTGATTTCTGTCAAACAGTCTCTACTGATTTTTTTAATAGAGCCTAAATATTCAAAGTTTGTGACATTTTAATTTCTTTACCGGTATTTACAAAGGGATAAAATGTGGTGCAATGAAGTTGCTTTCTTTCATTCCACAACTTATCAAATAAATACACTGAAAAAAAAAAAAAATGCCTGGAAACTGACAGATTACTTACATCTCTGGCGTAGTTTGGCAAGACAAAAGAAGCCGTGTGGATATCGGAGTTATAATATTTCAGATCCATTCTCTTCAGGTCTTCATCACTTAACCGCCTTATTGGCTTAGTAAAATCAATATCCTGAAAAAAAAAAAGAATAACATATCATTACTATCACAATGTATAAACTATATGAATGAGATAGTGTATCATTACTAATGCAATGCATAATGCACATACATGAGACAGTGTATCAGTACTATTACAATGTATTATTCACACAATTGATAATGTATCATTACTATCATAATGTATTATCCATGTGAATGAGGCAAGGTTTCATTACTATCACAATGTATCATCCATGTGAATGAGACAATGTATCATTACAATCACAATGTATAATCCATATAAATAAGACAATGTATCATTACTATCACAGTGTATAATCCATGTAAATGAGACAGTGTATCATTACTATTTCAATGTATAATCATACAAATGAGACAGTGTATCATTACTATGGCAGTGTATCATCCATGTAAATGAAACAATTCTTAAATAAGTGAAATCGGCACATCTATCTTGGATTAGGATTCTTGTTTAAATCTATGGACAACATCATCATCATTAAAGGTGTTCTAAGCAGGATAAACATTTACATCCGGAAGACATCAGCATCTAAACCCAGCACACAAGGAAGTTTAGCACATAAATTATGAAGGTTAATAACATACCCTAAGAGGGCCTCAATGGGTCATGCAACCCCACTGAAACTCTGCTAAACATGTTGTAAACAACACGTGACTAGTCACGCCTTGGTAATGTAGGTTCCGTTGGTGATCTTGTTTGGGGGTTAGGGTTAGGACTGACATCCTGGCATGGGGAAATCATCTGTATCAGAGTTGATTGAAAGTACACAAGATAGAAGGTTGTGTACAGACATGACTATCAACACCCCCATGGCATGGACTTTAAGAAGAAAATATGTATAGTCTTTTAACTGAATCTAGGTATGGAAAAGGCCCATAAATAGTTTTTAACTCACAAACACATGAACCCTACACTTGCAAATACAGAGCCTTTAACCAGATTTATATACAGGTAAGGCAGCCACAGAATCGTAGTGGTCAGATGCTTGCCTGCCATCCCAAAAGTCATGGGTTCAAATCCGCACTAGGTAGATTTAAAGGGGGAAAAAACACCTTGGTTCTCAGGTCAATAAGCCCAAAATTGGTATAAGGAAGTGTTTTGGGAAGTAAATAAGGATATAATGCTGATGACCACCTCAGCAATCCAGTGCTGTCTGGTTATACACATGTGAGTCAAGCACCATATACCCAATGCATTACTGGCTTCAAAAAGTATGGGGTGACCCATTTGCTATGAAGCTGAAACTAGGATTACCAGATTACTGATTTTGTTTTTTAAATAGCAGATAAGATTAACATAAAGTCTTTTAATAAACTATTTGTATGAACAAGTCTCATTAGGTACATACTTTTTAACAGAATATGTAGAGATCAGACACAGTCCTTAACCTCTCCTTCTTCTTCTTCTTTTTAGTGTTCGTAGACTGAAACTCTAATGGAAAGTCCTGGTTGTTTGACCACTTCAGGACTTGAGTCTTGTTTTAGAACTTGAGTTCTGCATGCAAATCCATTTTAGAGATCTGGCTTATTTATATGCAGACTGTTGGCTCCTTGCCTCCCTGGCAGTTGCACTTCAACTGTGAAAGAAACACCCCTAATTAGTCACCTTTTAGGACATGCTTCTTGTGAGGGAGGGGTCCACTGGATCTATTCTTCTCCTCCATAATGGAGCCCCTGATCACACACAGGGGAGACTGTAACCAATATACTGCTGATGAAGATCATATACATAGTCTTCAATTGACTATGAAAGATAAGAATGCCCAAATATGCAATATTTTCAGAGAATCAATGTATAGACAAAATAGTGACAAAGTATCTTCTGAAAAACACACATAAAAAATTATTCAGAAAACAAATATAACTAGTCAGTGCATTTTTGTGTGCTGGGGTAATGTTTAAAGAAGATGTCTTGTGTGAGAAGATCATTCAGAAGATTTTACTGAAGAGGATATATATATAAATATATATATATACCCCGTGTGGGTTCCGGGGCCCTATTATAAGGAAAACAAGAATAGACCCAATGCCTACCCAAAAGCATGTTGTAAGAGTCAACTAATTGGGAGCTTCCTTCAAAGTCGGAGTGCATCTGCCTGAGAGGCAAGGAACCAGCAGTCTGCAAACAAATGAGTCAGATCTGTAAAATGGATGCACACACAACAGTCAGGTTCTGGAACAGGACTGCCGTCCAGAAGTGGATGAAAAATCAGAACTTTCCGCCAGAGTTTACAGCTGGTGAACGTGAAGAAGATGATTATATTTACATTTATATTTATATATTTAAAGATGAAAATACTGCAATCCGTGTGAGAAAGGTGGCTTGAAATGTACCAGAAAAAGAAGCATGCGCCTACAAAGTGAACACCATCTTCTCTGTGATCAGTTCTGTATGTTCAGGTTATCAACTGTGTTGCATCCATGAATCGGCACATCAGCAGAAAGTCTCTAGGAATCTCCTAAAATTTGTCCTGGATTCCTCTTTCCCACTGGCCATGTGGTTGCTTGCAGGTTTTGCTACAGGTGGCAGCTCTGCAGTATGTGTTCAGGTGTTTGGTGTGAGCGAACGTGAATCATAAATTTTTAACTCTTTGAGTCCCAGGGGGTTTAGCATCACAGGCCCAGGGGGTAGAAAAGAGAGTCATAAAATGGGCGCATCATGTGTTCATTGGGCTTCTTGGTAGGAACCTATGAACGTATGATGCGTTACTTGGGACTCAAGAGTTGAAAAGGATTATAATATTTGGTTTGATTCCTAAAAGATCAACCAGAAATGTGCTCAGATGTCTGAATACAAAATAAAACAAAAGAGGATCAAAATATTCACCTCCATTTAGGAAGAGCCGCCGTGGTCTAGCGGCTAGACACTCGCTTGCAGATCGAAAGGTCGTGGGTTCCGGCCCTGACCGGGGCCTGGACTTTTCTCAAAAATGACTTTGGCTCCCAAGTCGACCCAGCCTTGAGTGGGTACCAGGTACAGTCCTGAGAAGTAAAGGCAGCCGGTGTGATGCTGACCACATCACCCATCGAGGGCCGACTAATCTATAAAATATAGGTCCAGCCCTATATACCCAATACACCTAAAGGCGTGGAAAAGGGCCCTTTACTACTTTACATCTGGGAAGGACAACCAGACACTTTCTTAAAGTTAAACAACAGAAAAGTTAAAAAAAAAACTATCAAATATGCTACCTTCAATCAGAAATGTTCTCGAAAATAAAACCGCATTTAAACATTCAATCCAAACTGGGATGGTCATTGCTTAAATTATATGTGTCTGGCCAAAAGGCACATTTATTGCAGCTTAGCTGTAAACCACAACACATGTGCCAACTGCTTTTTTGAGGGCTATCACTAAATAAAAATAAAAATTAAACAAATTTCAACTCAGAAGAGTGGGAATTAAAGGGTATGAATAAATCACTAATGTGGAGCTCTGGGAGAACTTAAACCAATTCCAGTAAATCAGAGTAGGGACAAACAATGCAATAGATAGGAGCCACATTGAGAAAAATCAACAACAATATAACTAGAATGTCTTGACAGTGGAACCCACAAGGCACAGAAATAAGGTCAAACCCAAACAAAACAAAAACACACACACAAAAGTGAGAGAGTGAAGTGAGAAAAGTTATGGAGGATAGGAGGTGAGAGGCATGCAATAGAAAAGGGTAAAATGCCTTGTCATGAGCTGGCTGATGGCTTATGCTCAACTGGGAAAGAAATGAATTAATAAAGTAACAGAAAGTGTATTGATCGGCACTTATAGAAAGAAGTAGATAGATAGAAGAACACAACAGACAAAATAAAAATCAAAAGCTATAGTTACCGTGCCAGGAATTGAACCTGTCACCTCTAAACGGTGTCTGCACCTCGTCATGAATACAAGTGCACTAAGAACATGGTCAACTAGGCCATCTACTTCTTTCTACTTGATTAGTTCATAATATTTAACGGCCTCAAAGGTTTCCCCTTCTGTTTATTTATGGAAAAGAAATGGCAGAAGAAAAAAAGGAAAAAAAAGGGGGGGGGGGGGGGGGGGGGGGGGGGGGGGGTTGCTAGCAGAAAAAAGAAGTATTTGGGAAGATCAATTAGAAGTGTGCTCAGAAAGTGGACATAGCGTAAACTAACAACAATCATTCATTTCCACACAGGAGGGTGATTGCAGTTATTCAATTCCCAAGCAGGTACTAACATACCGGAATACTGCTTGCTAAAAGGTATCCCAGGATGCCTGTAGCATATGTAGGTGTGTTTCCTGTTGCGTATCCCACTCGAGGAAAGACCTCCTTGCACTGGGTCGCCATGTCAAGGATGAACGGAATGTGTGTGAAAGTTGTCGCACCTAACAAAGAAATTAAAGCAATTAATTCATAAAGAAATTAGACGGGTCATTGACTGATTCATTATGGCTCCGTGGCCTAGAGGTTAGTGAAATCATTACACAATGCAATCTTTGATGTTTATCAGTGTTCGATTTCTCGCAGATAGAGGCTTAGACAATTATCATTCTTGTGGTTTTCAGTCAGTGGTATGAAAGTTGCACGTTAGAAAAGATTGGGGTAAAATCACCGGGTAATATTCTCTCAGTCAGCAGTCGATACATAAATTAAGAATCTTTTTTGGTATAAATGGATACGATACGACTCATATTTTTACAGGCTAATCGGCACTCTGTGATTGATGTGGTCAACATCATGATGGCCGCTTTTACTTCCCACGACTTTAGCTGGTCAAACTGGCAGGCAAGGTCAATTTTGGAGAAAATAAATCTGACTATACTGATTCAAACCATGGACCTTAAGCTGGCAGGCGAATATCTGCTACATCATCACATCCCAACACTTTTTTAGTATTATGACATTGAAAAGAATCAGCTTAGGAGCAACAGAAGTAACAAAAGAGGAAAAAAGTAACATTATAGATAGATTTTTTTTACTTCAAAAACAAATTTAAAAAAAAAAGAATGGGATACAAACAGTACAGGAATGTGTACCTTACAAAGAGCAAAGATGAACATTATGTGAGTTCACTGGTACTGAAACAGACAAGCAGGACAAGAGCACAGACATGATCTAAGACTTGTGATTATGTGGGGTGGCAAACCGTGGCTGACCACACTGATGATGACTGGCTACCATCAATGTTTTCATATCGCTTTTGAGGCCTGTAGATCAGCTCTCTTGACAAGCTGAGCTGAGAATCAACATCACAGTACTTAGGCTATTCCTTTTAGTGCTCCATCTCCATCTTTAGCAGACATCACAAAGTCCCTATTCCAATGGTTCCTTCTTCTTCTTTGCGTTCACCGGCTGTAAACTCAAGTGGAAAAGTTCTGGTTGTTTGTCCACTTCTGGATTCTAGCCCTGTTCCAGAAACAGATGTACTCCGACTTCAAAGGAAGCACCCACATTCTCTTCCGACATGCTTTTGGGCAGGCAGTGGGTCTATTCTTGTTTTCCCCACAATGGGGCCCCTGAACCAACACGGGGACCAATGGTACCAATAGGAGTCTGATTGTATGTTTAACTTGCCTTTCCTCTGAGCACTGACTGTCAGCCAGACTCCCTGGTCCGTCGCCACCGTTTCATTCTTTCCAGACTGCAATGATATATTTGTGCTTAGCTCTTACACTACTGAACGTGGTATTTTAATTTTGACAACAATTTAACAAAAAAAAAATCTACTGACAATTAAACTACAACAAAAAACACACAACATACACACCTTGACAGCTGGCAATGCCGTCGGCTTTTCAGTGCTGACTTGAGGTCTTGATAGAAGTTCTTTTGAAACAATGCTTCTGCTGCACCTGAGGAAATGGCAAAACATTAAGAATAGTACCAACACACCAAACGTTCTACTCAAGACTCGCTTCATCGCCTATCTAGAGAGGGACAATGTGTTATAGTTAGACTCAGGACAGATATGGCATAACATATGTTCAAACTTTTCAGTGTAGGAAACACGGAGATGTGTCCCTGCAACTTGACACCAGAAACTGCTGAGCATGTGCTCCAACACTGGCAACTGGATCTTGCCAACAGAGATGCAATCTGGCCTGCTTTAACATCAATGAAGACAAAGCTGTATATATGTGGGGAGATAAAGACTGCACGATAGCTTTCATAAAAGCTACCGGCCTTCTGATATAAGTTTTCTGGAAGAAGGATCAAAGATGAAGAAGTACCAAACCAAATGTTCAGAAACAGCTGCTTGTTGTATCCAGGATGTTGCAAACAAACCCCAGCATTTAGTGGGATCTTTCCATGTGGGAGTAGCCCACTGCTCTATAACAGGCAACATCTGTGTGAAATAAAGTCAATCCTCTTGACTTCAAACTTTTGAAGCAGGCAACAATACAGCACCTTTTTTTTTCAAGTTAGCCACGGCTGTCGGAAAGGTAAGGCACTCGGACCTTTGACTAAATCAATGTAAAGCAGTCTGCTAACAAACTGCCTGCAGCTCATTTGGAACCCTGGTATATTAAAATTGTGAACTGCATTGACAACCCTCAAACCACAGAGATATAAAATTAACAAATGTGTCTTCACAGAATGTTTAGATGTGATACAACCAGCTGAACATTACAGCCTGGTCACCCTACACAGAATGTTTAGATGTGTTACAACCAGCTGAACATTACAGCCTGGTCACCCTACACAGAATGTTTAGATGTGATACAACCAGCTGAACATTACAGCCTGGTCACCCTACACAGAATGTTTAGATGTGATACAACCAGCTGAACATTACAGCCTGGTCACCTGACACAGGAGTTAGGTTCAGTATTTGTCTCCCCTGTGTGAGTTCAAAAGCTTCAGTTAGGGAGAGGGGAGGTAATAAAAGACCCATTGCCCCTTTAGCAAGAGCATGTCACAAAAGGTGACTAAGGGTTTTCTCAAATGTGTTGGGCCGAAGGGTGCAGATATCGCAGCTGTTGACCACAGCACAATGTTCTAACTACATTTTTAAAAGTACGAATGCAGAAGAAGAAGAAGACAAAGAGAGGAGGAGGAGAAGGTGCAGCAGCAGAAGAAGAAGAAGAAGAAAGAAGAAAAGGAAGAAAAAAAAGAACAAGAACAAGAACAAGAAGATAGAAACATGAAGGTCTTCTTACCCTCTGGATCTGGAGCATCTGTTATGACAATATCAAAAGCTCCAGGATGATTTCGAACATACTCAACTCCATCTCCAACCTGAATGTTAACTCTCGGATCATCCAAGCTACCAGCCATGCGGGGCAGGTGTTTTCTACAAACATCTATCACCATCTGCACAGAGAAGTCAATATCACAATTACTTTGGGAACAAGCAACGAAATCAGTAGAGAAACAAGATTATTATGGCCTGGAGAGAATGAGGCACCTGGGTGTAACCAGGGGGTCTGGCCGGCTCACTACACTCAGTGAAAAGGCAAGACGGACATATAACCAGATTGTTACCGGTACCATCAGTACTGGAACTCTGCCTTGGCTGCTGAAGATGAGGAAGGAGCACACATGGGAATGCCCAGAGTGCTGTAATGTCAATTCTTGACAACTCAAACCAACTCAACTACTATTATTTACTACTACACCCTCCCCCCTCCCATCGTTCCCTAAAAAACATAGTTACAGAAAGGAACAAAATTTTGTAATTTAATGAGTGAACAAATTCAAACTGCACACAAGAATACCTTAGTGTTCGACCATTCAACTGAATGTTCATTTGAACCTGGGCCATTAACGTTTGTAGGCGTACAGGTTTTCCCTTAAATATATCATTAGATAACTATGTTTTTCTTTACTACTTTAAAAAAAAAAAAAGTATAATAAAGACATAAATAATCTGTCAAGAACCATTTCCCCTAGGTACTGAGCTGGAGTTACTGTACAACTGGTTGACTGTTACAGTTATGACATATTTTTTGCTTCTGGTCAAAGTCTAACACTATGGTGTTGCATCTTCCCACATATGTTAACAGACAGAAAATTGTTCCATCGCCCAGTTACTGAGCTGAATGTATGGTGCAGCACTGTGAGCTGTGGATTTAATGTGGCATGCTTCTCAACTGGGCCCAAGATGGTCTGTACTGAGAGTTGCAGAATCAGAAAATGGATCGCGGTATGTTGCCACAAAACTGGTAGTGCCTTATGCAATATTGCAGCTGCTGAGTTACTGTAATGGATGCTTTTACATATGATGAACTGAAATTCTAATGGTAAACTGTTTTTAATGGCACTAATGCATTTAATGCATCTATATGCTGTTAGCTTTACCAGGATTGCACTTCGTTTCAATGGTTTTCACAAGAGACTGGTTAATATTCTGTGTGGTTTTCGCGGGCACAGAAACAGAGTAGTCAGGGGTGACCCTTTTGATGTTAAGCTCGAACTGAGACGAACATCTAACTTAGTTGGAGTCTTTCCCATTGCGGGGAAAACAAGACCCCCTACCTCCCCGTGTGGGTTCTGGGGCTCCATTGCGGGGAAAACAAGAACAGAGCCACTACCTCCCCGTGTGGGTTCTGGGGCTCCATTGCGGGGAAAACAAGAACAGAGCCACTACCCCCCCTGGTGGGTTCTGGGGCTCCATTGCGGGGAAAACAAGAACAGAGCCACTACCTCCCCGTGTGGGTTCTGGGGCTCCATTGAGGGGAAAACAAGAACAGACCCACTACCTCTCCGTGTGGGTTCTGGGGCTCCATTGAGGGGAAAACAAGAACAGAGCCACTACCTCCCCGTGTGGGTTCTGGGGCTCCATTGCGGGGAAAACAAGAACAGACCCACTACCTCCCCGACAAGCATATCGTAAGAGTCGACTAACTAGAGGTTTTCTTCTAAGTCGGAGTGCATCTGCCTGTGAGACAAGGAACCAACAACCTACATATAAATAAGTTGAATCTGTAAAACAGATGTGCATGCAACACACAGGTTCCAGAACAAATCCAAATTCTAGAGATGGATGAACAAATAGCACTGTCTGCCAGAGTTTTTAGCCAGTGAATACGAAAAAGAAGAAAAAGAAGAAGTTGGAGTTGAAATACCTAACACCTGTGGAAAAATTACAGCCAACACAGGCTTCACATTTTTACCCTACATGAGCCGATTTTGTGGCATTCACGGGTTTATTATGATGTGACATCTTTGGGTACTACGCCTATATAACAGTACTGGTTGCCGCGTGGGAGTACGGAAGCCGTGTGGTCTAGCGGCTAGACGCTCGCCTGTGAATCCGAAGGTTGTGGGTTTGAGTCCTGATAGTGTCCGGACATTTTCCAAAAATTACCTTGGCTCATAGGTCGACTTAGCCTTGAGCGAGTACCAGGTACAGTAAAGGCAGCCGGCGTGATGCTGACAACACCACCCACTAAGTGACATTTGGTCCATAAAATATAGCTCTAGCCCTATACGCCTGAAGGCGTTGAAAAGGGTCTTCTATTTTCACACATATTTTGTCTCTTCTCCTCTCACAGACACACATGACATAGATAATACAGAGAGAGACACAAAACAGGCAGACAAGCAGACGGAGAAACATATTTTGTAACATCCAAGTTACCTGATCAATTTCACACAAAACAACCTCTTTAACACTGTCGTATTTCAAGATTTCTCGAACCACTCCTCCATCTCCACCACCTACAACCAAAACCTGAAACAAAGATGCTACTTTCAATCAATGGTCATTTGCCTTCCATGTTTTATGATCCAAGTGCCAGAACAGCACTGGGGGCATTCCCATGCATGTTCCATCCTCATCTTCAGCAACCAGCCCAGAGTTCCAAAACTGATGTACCGGTCACAATCTGGTTATAAGAATAAAGATTTTAAAAATTTTTTTCCTCTTCTTCTTCACTTCCTTTTTTACCGCTTTGGGTGTCATGGGAGATATGAGGTTCTGCTTCTTGCTCTACTGGTCGCCATGACCATAGACATGTTGTGCTGCTGTAGAGTTTCTCTGATGTTATCTTTCCATCTTGTTCTTGGGATTCCTCGTGCTCTATGTCCTTCTCCTCTTCTGTTGTATGCCTTTTACAGCATGCTGCCACAAGGTATTTTCACTAAGTAGGCAAACCATTAGTAAAAGTGTGTAGTTTCTTCTTCTTTGCTCACGGGCTGTAAGCTCCAGCGGAAAGTCCTGGTAGTTCGTCCATTTGGACTTTGATTTTGTGCCAGGGCCTGAGTTTTGTGTGTACATCCGTTTTACTGGCTTATTTGTGTGCAGCTGATTGTTGCTTGACGCTCGGGCAGATGCACTCCGACTTCAAAGGAAGCCCCAATTAGTGGACTCCTACGACATACCTGTCGGCGAGGCAGTGGGTCTACTTTAGTTTTCCCCCACGATGGAGCCCCGGAACCCACAGGGGGAAGTGTGTAGTTTAGTAAAAGCTTGTGTGTTACTGGGGCCCTTGAGAAAGCCAACAATAATAACACTGTATCCAACCAGGCATGTCATAAAAGCCAAACAAAGAGTAAGCCTGGTCTCAGGGTCGACAACTTGATTTCACACAATTCTACAGCCACAAACATTAACTATGATTAACAAAAATAAATTAATATAGTGAACTGTGAGTAAACAGATTAACTAATTGGGGAAGCAGAAATGCGTGTACAAAACAACACAAATCGACATTTCGGCCGGGGCCTTTCTCAACAAGAACTGCACAACAAAAAACAAAAATAAAGACAACAGCGGGACTGTCCCTTAAAAGACTGACACCTAGCAACTCAAAGTGCCACTATTCAGATGCAAATCCAGCAAGAACAAATCATAGAAACTCTGTTGCTCCTGTTGTTTATCTGTAATGTTACGTTCTTTTTGTGCTCTGGGACAAAAAGTGCAGACCCGCTACTCCTCAACTCTTTTAAGTCCCAAGGAACGCATCATACGTTCATAGATTCCTACTTAGAAGCCCAATGAACGCATGATGCACCAATTTTACATCTCTCTTGACTACCCCTTGGGCCTGTAATGCTAAACTCGCTGGGACTCAAAGAGTTAACAAGCATGTCGTAAAAGGTGACAAATTAGGACTTTGCTGAAATTGGATTGCTCTGCCAAAAAATGCAGATATCACAGTCTAGCTGTAAACTATAACACAACAAGGCCAGTGCCCTTTTAAGCGAATGTTTACAGAAAAAGAACAAGTACAAGAAGAAATAATGTTATAATATTGACAATTTTATGTCTTGATGCATGAAATCTGCACAGTACCAATACATAACTCAATGATTAAATATTCTGAAACATGTTTTTTTAAATGTGACAATCAAAAACCTGTTTCTAAATTTCCAATTACCAAACCACACACCCTATGGAGCTGTCGCGGTGTAGCGGCCAGATCGGAAAGTCATGGGTTCAAATCCAAACGAAGCAGGACTTTATTAGAAAATGACCTTGGCTCCAAGGTTGACCCAGCCTTAAATGGGTACCAGGTGAAGTACTGTGAAGTAAAGGCGGGCGGCACAATGTTGAACATATCAGCCGTAGAGAGTGCCAGTTGGTCTATAATATATAGGTCTGGTACTGTTTGCGTGATAGGCTTGAAAGTGTGGGAAAAGGTCCTTCAACTGTACTTTTACACACGCCCTCCCACCCACAGACATATTTCTCTCTCTTTCACTGACACAATCACACACACATATTCTCTCTCTATCTCTCTCACTGATCACACACATATATTCTCTCTCACACAAACAAACACACATTCTCTCTCTCTATCTCACTGACACAATCACACACGTACTCTCTCTCACACATACAAACACATATTCTCTCTCTATCTCACTGACACAAACACACACATATATTCTCTCTCACACATACAAACACATATTCTCTCTCTATCTCACTGACACAATCACACACATATATTCTCTCTCACACATACAAACACATATTCTCTCTCTATCTCACTGACACAATCACACACATATATTCTCTCTCACACATACACACACATATTTTCTCTCTCTCTTTCACTGACACAATCACACACACATATTCTCTCTCACACATACAAACACATATTCTCACATAAACAAATACACACGCACATTCTCACACACACACATTTTTACACACATATCTGCACACACAGACATATCCTCATACACAGACCCACAAAAACACACAGAGAAACACACACTTAACACACATATTCTCTCTCTCTCATTCTCTCTCACACCCACACACACAAACACATTCACACCCACAACCATATTTTCACACACACATACACTCATCTATATTTCTTTTCATACATTTGTAAGCAGACTCCAACAGTATGTTCCCTTCAGGCCAATAATCAAACAAGCTTTTATTTACCAATGTGTTTTCATAACATGTCATTAATGAATAATTCACAGTATCTGTTAGCAAAGCAGGTTCTTACTATGAGATTAGCTGTATTTATATTGCCTTTTTTCAGGACACAATATCCTGACTAAATACATTTATACTATTCAGTATTCAATATCCCAGTGCTTTTAAAGGAAGGCATGTAATTTCTTAGTATTATTTTTGCCTCTTGCAGCAAAACATTTTTGCACGTCTTCTTTTCCTCCAGTTATGGCTAACTCTTCTTCTTCTGCCTTTCCAGCCCCCAATGGAGCATAGGCCTTCAACCAACTCACGCCAAGTCGTTCTATCCTTTGCTATCGCAAGCAGCTCTCCCCATGTCCGCCCCATCTTTCTAACTTCATTCTCCAGCTGACTTCTCCATGTGTTTTTTGTCCTTCCTGTATTCCTATGCCCCTGTGGGTTCCAATGAAAAGACATTCTAGTTATACGGTTCTCCGATTTTCATATGGCTAACTGCAGAATACAAGATCCAAAGTCAAAGGTTAAAGTCGAGAGGATCGACTTCACTACACTGTGTTTTATTCCATATGACTCAGTCTCTCTCAGCAGAATGGCTAGCCACTGCTGAGAACATCACTCAAAGCACAAACAGCGTAGCTCCAGCAACAATCCCAAGGGGTCTCCCCGTAAAAACTGTACTCACGAACCAGATGACCAACTATGAAATGAACCCACGACCTTCAGAGCATGAGGCAAATGGCTTGACGACTGAGATTGTCTGGAGAGAGGTAACGAGCTGTTATCTGTTAACTCTTTCAGTCCCAAGAAGTTGTTAACTTAACTCTGTCTAGTCCAAGAGGTTCAGCTTAAAAGCAGTAAATACTTAGATCTGAGGGGGTTCAACAATTACTTAGATCGAAGGGGTTCAATGATTACTTAGATCTGAGGGGTTAAATGATTACTTAGATCTGAGGGGTTCAATGATTACTTAGCTCTGAGGAGGTTCAACGATTACTTAGCTCTGAGGGTTTCAACGATTACTTAGATTTGAGGTATTCAATGACTACTTAGATCTGAGGGGGTTCAACAATTACTCAGATTTGAGGGGGTTCAACAATTACTCAGATCTGAGGGGGTTCAACAATTACTCAGATTTGAGGGGGTTCAACAATTACTCAGATTTGAGGGGGTTCAACAATTACTCAGATCTGAGGGGGTTCAACAATTACTCAGATTTGAGGGGGTTCAACAATTACTCAGATCTGAGGGGGTTCAACAATTACTCAGATTTGAGGGGGTTCAACAATTACTCAGATTTGAGGGGGTTCAACAATAAGACAGAAGTAGTTACCTAAACTTATAATTAAGAAACAAAGGGTTAATTTATTCTTCTTTGTGTTTACAAACTGTAAAACTCCGGTGGAAAGTTCTGGTTGTTCGTCCACGTCTGGACTTTAGTCTTGTTCCAGAATCTGAGTATTGCATACACACCTTTTTTTTTTTTTTACAGATCTGACATATTTGTATGCAGACTGTTGGTTTCTAGCCTCTCAAGCAGATGAACTCCAACTTTGACAGAAGCCCTCAATAAGTCAGCTCTTGTGACATGCTTGTCGGGGAGCAGTGGCTATTCTTCCCCCCCCCCCCAATAGAGCCCGGAACCCACACAGGGGCAAATGATTAATTTAACAACGGTACTACAATCAAACAAGTATGAGCATACAAATATCTAGGAAGCACATTTATGGAGAATGACAGAGAGATAGAAGCCAGAATACAGAAGGCAAAAGCTGTCGCCTACCAGTTAGTCATACTGCTTAGACACCCAAATATCTCCCTTCCAGCAAAACAGCAAATAATTAATAGCATGTTCATCTCTACTTTATGCTATCAGTGCCAAACATGGACAATGAATAGGGCACTAGAACAGAAAATAACTAATCTGAAATGTGCTGTCTCCACAAGGTCACTTACAACACAAGAAGGGACAAGGTTACGAATGCCAGCATCGGAGAGAAAGTTGGAATAAGATCATGACTGGGTAATATTGACAGAGAATGAAATGTTTCAACCATCTAGTGAGAATGCAGCCAAACCAAAACGATTATGAGACCTCTTTTAAAGCAGAACTTTTGGAAGGAAGGCGAGTGGAAGACCAAGAAAGAGATGAATTAAAGGTGTAGTTGAAACCTGCAAAAAAAAAAGATGAACAGATCCACTACACAAGGCAACAGAGAAACACAAGACAAATACAAAAAACCACAACACTAGGCTACAACTTGGCATCAGTGAGACGACAAAAAAAAAAATGTGAGAGAAGACAGCTGAAACATTATATTATCTGGGGAATGGCAAATTAACGTAGTTTGTGCTGTCTGTAGGGAAAGAGTTAATCAAATCAATATCCCTGCTGCCAGTTTTATTTACTGTCCTCAGTCTAACTCTGCATATTTTACAGGGTTGATATGTTAATTGTCAGGGAACTACGGTATTGTAATGGCCAGAAGCTCACCTGCCAGCCCAGAGGTCAACGGTTCAAGTCCGTCCTTTTCAAAACTGACTTTGACTCCCAGGTTCTTCTCCATGAGCTTTGGCATCTAGAGTATATAGCAAGGGTAGAGGTGCCAGGGAGGACAGAAAAAGTGCTATAAGATCACTCTCAAGACTGCTCTCAATTCTTTTAGCATCAACACGGCGACGTGGGAGGCTGTTGCGCAAGACTGTTCTGGATGGCGCACGTCCCTCAAGCATGGTGCATCGGCCTGCCAGGCAGCGGAGCTTGCATAGGCAGAGAAACGGAGGCAGACTAGAAACAAACGTACTGCTAATCACACGCTTACTGAGGCTTTTATCTGTTGTCTGCACTGTTCAAGAACTTTCCAGGCTCATATTGGACTAATCAGCCACCTTCGTACTCATAATCACTGATCATTACTACTTTGGATAAATGTGGTCTTCATCACTCGTGATAGACAAACAACATATAGTGCTAGATGTATATTCTATAGACTAATCGGCACTCGGAGGGTGTTGTGGTCAATATCATACCAGCCACCTCTACTTACCAGGACTTCTGCTGGTACCCAATGTAGGCCAGGTCGATTATGGGAGCCAAGATCTATGACTCTAGCGCTGAAAAGCTGATGCCAGATACTGCATCTTCTTCTACTTCTTCCCTCTACTCCTGGAATGCCTCGCTGTGTCAGGACAGGAAGAGATCTCTGTACCTGACCCTTCTGTTCTCTACTCCTGGAATGCCTCGCTGTGTCAGGACAGGAAGAGATCTCTGGAACTGACCCTTCTGTTCTCTACTCCTGGAATGCCTCGCTGTGTCAGGACAGGAAGAGATCTCTGGAACTGACCCTTCTGTTCTCTACTCCTGGAATGCCTCGCTGTGTCAGGACAGGAAGAGATCTCTGTAACTGACCCTTCTGTTCTCTACTCCTGGAATGCCTCGCTGTGTCAGGACAGGAAGAGATCTCTGTAACTGACCCTTCTGTTCGCTTTGTATAAAGTACTTTTCAGTGTCTCTTCAGGTCCATCTTCTGCGCAGATGACCTCTGATTCTGGTACCGCTGTAACTGTATAACATTACTCTCTCTGGTGCCCTGTCTGATGCCAATCTTGTTACATGGCCAAACCATTTGACTATACTACTGTACACTGTCAGAAAAAAAAAATATCCTGTCTATGACTAGCATTTATGTAACACAAGTTATAATATGTATTAATTACAGTCTTCATAGGTTGAAGAAGATATAGATATGCACTTACCCGCTGAGGATTCGGATGCAAGTTCATGGGTATATGTGTGATCATCTCCTGGTATGTGAACTCGTCCCTCTCTGTACACTGTATGATCCCATTCAGGACTAAGACATTCCCGTATGACTTGCTGACAAAGAAACGTTTGATTTAAGGCTGAGGTCATTAACTGTATCAGCTCCATTTAACCTGTAATGTTTTACTGACTACTCTTTGCATGTCTCAAACAACACATCAAGTGTCTTCTTATATTTAAGTTTTGGTGAGTGTACACTATATAAATCTGGCAACCACAGGGGGTATCTTTTATTCATTTTTAATGTCTACAACATAGCAAGTGGTTAGTTTTTGTGGCAATATGTAATGAAAAAAAAAAGAGAATTATTTTTGGGGGAAAAAACAACCTATGGGACCAAAACAGTTGAAATGAGAGCCACAGTTGCATGGTGGTTACTCGCCTGTCGGCCAGAAGGTCTTGAGTTCAAATTAACATCAAAATGAACATGTTTCTAAATTTATCTTGGCTTCCAGACAGATTTATCCCAAAATGGCTACCAGGTAATGTCCTGGGAAATAAAGGCGGCTAGCCTGATGCTGACCACATCATCCAGTAATCAGGTTTCATAGCCAAATTTACCAATCAATTTCAAGGCTTTTCAAGGTCTTTTTCAAGGTCTCCTTAGTTTTTTTCAAGGTTGTCTCGGTGTAATACTGAAACAAGATTTTTGCCTTGTTCAAGGGTGTACTGAGCACACAAGGTACTTCATTTGTGCCACATGTGTTGGTATACCAGCACAGATATCATCATCATGTAGCATTTCCTTTGTCCTGACAAAAAAACCTCGGTCTCTCACCAGCTCTCCCGCCTCATGTACTTTTTTATACTCAAGGAGTCACTTATATCCTGTGCCCATCTTCGTGTTGGTCGGCCCCTGAGCTTGATATAGTGTTTGAAAATTTTTTTAGGGCTTGGTGGTAGAGGGCAGCAAACTGAAGTCCTGTCTGTTCTGGACCTGGTACCTGAGAGGGTTAGGGGAGAGAGAGAGAGAGTCATGAAGAGAGAGGAAGACACATGCTGAGGTAGGCTGGGAGAGACAGTGTAAAGATCGACAGATGAAGGTAGAGAAAAGAAGGAAAAGAAGTCTGGGGAAGGAAGAAAAAATGAGAGGGAGGGATGGAGACATGATGAGGAAAAGTGGGGAAGGGACAGCGAAAGACAGAGAGGGAGACAAATATAGAAAGATGGAATGCAGATACAGAGATGGGCAGATGAAAAGAGAAGGAAAAAGGGAACGAAACAGAGATATGGAAGGAGGAAAATATGACAAAGAGTTGAAAGAAGGGAGACAGAGGGAGAGAGAACGGACAGGGTGAGAAGCAGATGCAAGCAGAGAGAGATGTAGACATAAAGGAGAGAGAGACAAAGGGACAGCACAGAGAGGCAAGCAGACAGAGGGAGAGAACCAAAGAAAGAGAAAAAAGGCAGAGCAGGAGAATGGGAGGGAGGTATACAAAGAGGAAGTGATGAAGGGAGGCAAACAGACATAAAGCAAGAGAGAGAGAGAGAGAGAGGTGGGTAAGGAAGGCAGTGACAAACACAGATTAAGAGAGAGGGGCAGGAAGGGACACAAGATACATCAAAGAAAAAAAACAGCCACCTACTCTTCCCCCCCCCCCCCCCCCACACACACACAATTTTAAGTGTAGTGGGCACAACCACTAGGAAAAGATAGTTATGGGGCAAAAAAAATATGTAGATGAACCAGTAAACAAATGGGGGGGGGGGGGGGGGGGGGAGAATGAGAGAGGGGAGCGGGTAAGCAAATCTAGAGAAAATGAAAAGACAGGATGGAGAGGAGACAAAGAAGAGATGGGACAGGAGAAAGGGCAAGGAAAGGAAGAGAGGAAGAATGGAGAGAGAAAGGAGATTAGTAGAAGATCAAAGGAAAGAGAAGGGGTGAGAGAAGAAAGGTAAGACACGGTTGTGGGGGGGAGTGTGTGTGTGTAAGAACACTGAGTGCCAAAAATAGAATTAGGAAATCTCTAAGTGAGGCCACTTTTCCGGTTCCTAATAATAGCCAATAATCAGCTGCCCTCACACCTGAAACGACCATACAACGAAAGTAGCCAAAAACTAGCCAAATCGCCAAAAAAGCCAAATGGCTCCCCCAAAATTACCTGTGCTGAAAAACACAGGATTTCTGACGATTTCATTGCCGCGGTCAAAATTCACGGCTTTTCAAGGTCGGAATGTCTTTTATAAGCTAAAAAATCACGGTTCAAGGTCAACGAAAAAAATCCCGGTAATTTCCCGATTTCCCGGTCCACTACGAACCCTGAGTAATGCTGATTTTCTATAAAATATGAGTCTAACATCACAGGCCTGATACAAAACCGGTGTGAAAAGGGTCCTTCCCTTTATGGTCTTTCTATGCTGGGGCAGGTTCTTCTGGCCCATGACGATATCCATTTTTGAACATTCTGGCCCTTGAGTCAGCTTAGTTGAATAGCCCTGATGTTTGTGCTTCAGACACTCATAGAATACCAACTTACGTGGTTTCAATTCCAATGTCATTTCAGTTTTAACATATGCCAGTAACCACTAATCAGATGGGATGAAAGTTAAATACATTCAAAAGTAAATGTCTAAAGAAACTGACTCATGTTACATGGGGTGAGTTCAGAAAAAGTGAAGAAATAAGAGAAATGTCTGGACAACCGCTGGTATCAACAGTTGAAAAACAAAGAAGATGGTGCTTTAGTGGGCCCATCCTGAGAAGAAATTACCAAATTATCACCAAACAGGCAATGAAATGGGACACAGAGGGACTAAGGAAATACGGACATCTGAAAAATTCCCTAGGATGAACATTGATGAGAGAGGTCAAAGGTGCTGGACTGGATTCCACTCATGCTACTGAAAAAAACTGCACAGAACAGAGGTGAATGGAAGAATCAACTGTCTGCCCTATGTGGCAAGTAATGGCCCAACAGGATGTTGATGTCAATCTCTAGGCAATGTTTGATTCTGTAGAGTTCTCTGATGTTATCTTTCCATCGTGTTTTTGTCCCATCTTGGCGATTGTAAGATTCTGTAGAGTTCTCTGATGTTATCTTTCCATCGTGTTTTTGTCCCATCTTGCGCTCCACGTCCTTTTCCTCTTTTAGTGTATGCCTCTCTCTCTGTTCTAGTAATTTGGTGTAGGAAAAATATAATATATAATACCAAACAGAATATTGTGTTTATAGATCAGGAAAAAGCTTTTGATAAAGTGGAAAGAAACAAACTGTGGTCTGTTCTTGAGAACTATGGAGTACAAGGACACTTACTAGAGAACATCATAGCCATGTACCACACAAGCCAAAGTGCAGTAAAAACACAAGAAGGCATCAGATATGTTCACAGTCAACACAGGTGTGAGACAAGGATGTGTGCTCTCCCCACTTTTATTTAACATCTATATAGACAGAATATTTAAAGAAGCAAGTTATGATACAGACAACATAGACCTTTATAATCACGAGGAAGTACACACATCAGGAGAAGTAATCGATTCACCCACACTGAACGAACTATTATTTGCTGACGACCAGTGCTTGTTCTACCCTGAAGAACATAGACTGCAAGACCACATTAACAGGTTAAACTCAGCATGTAGTAAATACAACATGAAGATCAATGTAAACAAAACCGAAACAATGCAAGTTAGTAGAACCCCTGCCTCACTACACATACAGCTGAATGGTTCTGCCCTGAATCAAGTTAGAGAGTTTAAATATCTAGGAAGTATGATCACAGAAGATGATAGAATTGACAGAGAAATAGAAACCAGATGCCAGAAAGCAAGTGCACTTATATACCAATTGTCACCATTATTAAGACATTCAAGCATAACTATGAGTGCAAAGAGACAGATTATTAATAGCATATTTATTCCAACATTAGGCTACCAGTGCCAAACATGGACACTATCTAAAGCCCATATACGCAAAATCATCACCGGTGAGATGAGATGCCTGAGAAAAGCAGCCAACCTAACCATACGAGATCGAATGAATAATGAAACTATCAGGCAAGTTGTGGAAACGACACTCTGTACTAGATTCATCAAGAAACAGCAGATTAAGTGGTTTGGTCATCTCGTTAGAATGCAGCAAGATCAAATATTATCACAAGCACTACATCTCAGAAGATCAACTACAAGAGCAAGAGGACGGCCGCAGAAAACATGGATCAACAGCATTAAAGACACTCTACGCCTTCACGGCGTGACAATAGCCAGTGGCCGCCAACGTGCACTGGATCGCATAATATTCCTCCCCACGATGCTTAATGGCAGAAGTGGTTTACGATGATGATGATGAGCGTATGCATTGCGTGATAGGGCATCACAGGGTATTCTCTCCAAGTGGGCAAACCGTTCAGTTTGCTGTCTCTGTATGTAATTTAGAATTGTTTCTCTGCTGACTTTTTCTCTTTTGACCTCATTTCCGATTTTCTCTTTTTGTTACTCCTGCAGCCTTTCTTTACATCTCATTTCCATGGTAGCTAGTTTTCTTGTACGGTTTGTTCTGAGTGATCATGCCTGGCAAAGGTAGCATACATTGGGCATGAATACGCTTTGTATGAGATGTCTGTGCTGATCAGCATTGTCTTATGTTAGGTAGGGGCTAGCTGTCCCCAGTCAAGACACTAATTTCTAAATATTTATATATTATATACACAACTGTTTCTATCATCATAAACTACTTCTGCCATTAAGCAGAATAATTTTGATACAGTGCACGCTGGCTGCCACTGGCTAATGTCATGACATAAAGGCGTAAGATGTCTTTAATGTTGCTGATCCATGTTTTCCGCGGCTGTCCTCTTGCTCTTGTAGCTGATCTTCTGAGATGTAGTGCCTGTGATGGATCTTGCTGCATTCTAACAAGATGGCCAAACCATTTGATCTGTTGTTTCTCTAAGAATCTAGCACAATGTGTCATTCCCACAGTCTGTGAGCACCGCACAAGCACGAACTCTATATCTCCATTGTCCCCAGGGAGCTCCATAAAAAAAAAGTATCAGCACAGGAACTGGTAAAAAGATACTGGCAGGTATCAGCAAGAACGGCAAGGTGTGGAGTAGAAGATATCACTCACAGCAGTTGCCCAAAAAAAAGTTCATAATTATTGTGTTGCTGTGTAGGAAAATGATTGCCTATGGCCACTAAATATGCCATCTACTAATGACTATCCTTCCTCTTCCTCCACATTTCCCCTTAAAAGGTCAGCCGGCATGTTGTGTTGTGGTTTACAGCTAGGCTGAGATATCTGTGCCTTTCGGCCTAACACAATCAATTTCCAGCTCATTCAGTTTCAGCAGATACTTAATTAGTCGCCTTTTACAACATGCTTGTTAAGCAGCAGTGGGAGGTCGTTTTTTTTACATAAATTTTTTCACCCCATCTTAGGGGATGCGAGATTTGGTAGGGAATTCCTAGGGAGTTCCCCAGCATGTCCTATATTATAGGGGGGTTAGGATAAGGTTTAGTTTCTTCTTCTTATTCTTCTTCTTTCGTTCACTTGAAATAGATTATCTGTATCGCAATGTTGTCTCTAGCATGAAGTTCACTGTCCTGTGTAATTCACTCAGCGACTCGTAAAGTTCAGCTTGAACTGGTGCCCTGAAAAGGGCCGGCCATCTTGGGTTGGCGGCCTGGGACAGCCCTGAAAAGGACTGAAGCCTCCATGTATGCATACTGGTGAGTTAGGGTTACCGCTAGATGCAGCGATGCTGACAGGTCAAGAAGATTCATGGGGAAGAGGAAGTCACGAAGAACACCACTTCCAAACAAGGCACAGTGGTGGTGATGAAAGAATGAAAGTAACACACACTAAACATGATCACACAATAAACGATGAAATCAACCAACATATGACATGCCTAGGATACAGGAGTTTCACACTAGAATTATAACATAAGGTACTACACCAGTTTCCACATAAACCGGCTACCAGCCATATTGAACCTTACAACTTAACCGCTGTACAAATGAAAGGCATTCCACATAATAAATACAGATCACAGTGCTGCCCCAAGCACTAAATTCAGTAGCGCAGGCAGCAAAATTGCAGACTACCACCGACTGACACTAACCCCCCACACTATAGGACTACAGGAAATCTCACAGCCCCTGAGATGGGGTGAAAAAACGGAAAAGAACCGAGGGGTATATTCCTGCCAAAGGGAATCCTACATTGAGAAATCATTATGCCCTCGCCCTGACACTTACCTTTTAAAGACTAGAATATCCTGGTACTGTGACTTCTCATGAAATAACACCTCTTCCACCTGCAGACATATACTGTACCCATCCCAATCTAGATTGACCTCTCGGAACCAATCTCCATCTATGACTGAATGATTCTCAAAGTTAAGCACTGTTGCCATCTCAGTGTTTGTGCATAAATGACCCTTTCTTTCTCCTGTAGAGAAAAACAAATCAGTCCAATAAAGAAGACGCAAACAACAGATTGTACAATTTATGGCCTGGAATATTCTGCCGTATATAATCAGTTCATGTATGGAATGTGTAGCGTGGAAAGGGGAGGATAGGATCAGGAAGGGAATAGGAATAAATTTTAAATACAGTTTTTAAAACATTTTTTATTTTATTTATTTGTTAATATAATTATTTAATTAAGTTAATTTTTTTTAATTTGATTGCAAAAAAGGTAGAGAGCTGAGCGTGTGAGATGAAGCAGACTAACTACATGTGAAAGCAATGATGGTTCTGGAATCAAACACTGTGGAGTGTTCTAATTGTGGAAGACTTTTCTTAATGCCAGCGGGTCTTGCTAGTCACACCTCGCCATCCCCGTGGGCTGTGTCACATGCCTACTAATAAAACAATATGACACTATCACCTGAAAAGACAGAAAGGTATTAACAACAAAAACAACAAATCAGAGGCATACTCTATTTCTTCTTATGGTCAATCTCATATGGAATTAGTAATCATGCCCGCCCACTGCTTTCTTATCTGACCTCAGTTGACAAAGATATACTGCAGAGCTTATTTTTCATCCACTGAAATGTTGCTTAAGCTATTCTACATTTAACTTTAGTTTCTGTTCACTTCTGTAGAAAGTTCTAGTTGTTTGTCCACTTTTTTAGAAATTTCTGCTTGTTTGTCCACTTCTGTAGAAATTTCTGCTTGTTTGTCCACTTCTGTAGAAATTTCTGGTTATTTGTCCACTTCTGTAGAAAGTTCTAGTTGTTTGTCAACTTCTGTAGAAAATTCTCGCTGTAAGCTCTGGCTATTGACCCACTTCTGTGGAAAGCTCTGGCTATTGACCCACTTCTGTGGAAAGCTCTGGCTATTCACCCACTTCTGTGGAAAGCTCTGGCTATTGACCAACTTCTGTGGAAAGCTCTGGCTATTGACATACTTCTGTGGAAAGCTCTGGCTATTCGCCCACATCTGGGGAAAGCTCTGGCTATTGACCCACTTCTGTGGAAAGCTTTGGCTATTGACCCACTTCTGTGGAAAGCTATGGCTATTGACCCACTCTGTGGAAAGCTCTGGCTATTGACCCACTTCTGTGGAAAGCTCTGGCTATTGACCCACTTCTGTGGAAAGCTCTGGCTATTGACCCACTTCTGTGGAAAGCTCTGGCTATTGACCCACTTCTGTGGAAAGCTCTGGCTATTCGCCGACTTCAGTGGAAAGCTCTGGCTGTTTGTCAACTTCTGGACTTTAGTCTTGTTCTAGTACTTGGGAGTCCTGGAAAGTAAAGACAGCCAGCGCGGTGCTGACCATAACATCCATCGAGTATCGATTGGCCAGAAAATATTGGTCTAGCAAACATTTTAACAACAATAAATCATTGCCAACAAAAAATTGTTTTAAAAATGATCTTGTCTAGTTTACAGTTTCCTTCCTGATATTTATTTATTGAATTAACTACTACTCTACTAAACCATAACTTATGTCTATCCCAAAGACTGTGAACTTTATAGTAACCAGATTTGATTGTTGATAAGTTAAATGAAAGCTAAATGATTTAAGGAGTTAAAACAACTATAGGGATATAATGGGTTAATGTAACAGAAAAGTGGGACAGAACAAATAAAAAAAATGAATGCAATATATGAAATAAACAACTTATGATGGTATGTTAGGTACAGAAGGAGTTAACTCTAATATCTGTATGTAACTAGCAAGCAACACAATCAATGCAAACCTGGGATGTGAAAGGGGATATTGTACACCAAAGACAAACAGATGTTTACTATAAACAAAATCAATCTTAATAAAAGCTTATAAAAAAGAACACCTTGCACAATTAACACAGACCTTCCCTGTTTAATATACACGACACCTGCACACAGGACAAGCAAGATACTACACTGTATCGTCGCAAAATCTATTAAATGTATTTATATGTAGTGTCACAGAAAATTAACAATAAATTACAAAGAAATTGAAAATGTCATCAACTTTGAATATCTAGGTTCTATAATAAATAGCAGTGGAAGACTGTTTTTAGAAGTCAAAAGGATGATGGTGATAGCAATGCAAAAATTAAATAAAAATCATCAAATGTCTATGGTTAAGCACCAGCAAGGAAATCAAAATACTGAGAGCATGTATCTTTCCTGTAGCAGCATACGGATGTGAGTCTGGACTATCTCCCAGTCCTTAAGAAAGAAGAAAGGGGCTTTTGAGCTGAAATGCTATTGGTAGATTCTCAGAATTTCATAGATAAGAAAAGAAATACAGACAATTTAAAAGATCTGAACATAAAGGAAGATTGCCTAATAAACAGCATCTTGTCTCGGAAGCTGACATGGTACCAGGAAGGAGGAGCAGGGGCCGATCAACACAGAGATGGGCACAGGAAATAAGTGACTCCTTGAAAAAAAAAAGTACACAAGGAAGGAGAGCTGGCGAAAGACCAAGTTTTTTTCAGACAGACCGTGATGACAGCGATGTTCTGCAAAGGACCTGCTTCATGATGATGATCATGATCACATTATATGCAGTATACCATTGTTCTCTCTTCTGGTATGATTCTCATCTTTGAGGTGTTAATCCTATAGACTGCAATCCTGGAAGAGCAAAGCTACCTACTCTCACATGATTAGGCGGACATTTATAGAAGTCCATCAGGGTTTTTTAGCGGCCAGTGGTTGAAGAACCTATGGATGCGAGAGTTGGAAAGCAACAGTAGCTCTTGATAAACAAAATTACACAATTTTGAGAACAGATGTCTTAGAAGAATAATAAATCTCCACTGTATAGATTTCAGATTCAATACGCAAATAAGACAAGAGACCAAGCAAGAAAATGTATCCAATTTTATAAGAAAGCGCTGCTGGAACTACATCAGACATGCACTCAGAATGAACAAGACAAGACTCCCCCATCAAGGCCTCATATGGACACTGGAAGGGAACAGAAAACGGGGAAGACTAAGAGAGACTGTGTAGAACAATCATCAGGGAAGGCTCAACTATGGGACTAATGAATATCCAAATCCTAAATCAGGTGGCAATGAACCACCAGACCTGGAGAGCTATGAACTTTGAGCCTTAAGCTCAAGAGAAAAGACTAACTGACCGATTGAAGAACAATGGTCTAGTGTGTCCTTCTATCTCTATCATATTTCTATGCTCCTATGAGAACTGATTATTACTTCTAAATTTATTGAAAATGCTTGTTCCAGTTCCAGTTTGTGTGAAAGAAAACTATCAAACTTCGGCGACATTTAACCAGCTCCTATCTGAGCGACGGTTATTTGGTCGGCCGTGTTTCTTTGTAGACAAAGTCTCGACTGGTAAGATTTTTGGTATGTGATCTCACATCTGAGTTTCTTTGTCTCTGCGTTCCTTTTTCCGCTGCCATTTGGGCTGTGTTGTCTGGCCGTGGTTCAGTCAGTAAGTTGTCCTTAAGCATGGCGGGGTTGGGGTAACCGTCCTAAGAAGGACAGTTAGCATTGCCCTGTAGGCTATCGAGTGGGTATGGGTGGGACTGCTGTGGTTTGGTGCTGGCTGATTGGCTGTTTCCTCGTTTAGGTAAGCTGGGCTGTCATGGCGGCTTGGAGTAATTCCATTGGTTGACTTGTTTCTTGCTATTTTTGGGTTATCGCATGTCTCTGTTTGCTTCGCTGCGTGGGGTCTGTTTTCATGAGTGTGGGTCGCTTTTTTTCTTTTGTTGTTCTTGATGCTTTCTATTTGCAGTTGTCGGGTAACCTCCTTGAGATATCTAACTTCTTTGAACATTACTTTGAAGGTTTGATTTGTTCCTTCCTTGACATCTGCCAACTTCTGCATGACGTTCTTCTCTTCTTCGCTGGGGCTGTCATAATGCTTGTTCAGTCGGCTGACTTTTATAGCCAGTGCTTCTTACAAAATGGAGCAGCCAACCCAAAACCTAACCTGATTCTTGTTTGCCTCTTGTGGTATGCCTCGTAAGGATTAGTGTTATTACTCTTTCCATCACCTAAGGCCCCTCATAATGCTTTTTTCTGTGTGCATTCTGTTAATGAAGTAACAGGATAAATCAATACGCCTTTGCAGCTGTCAACTCACAATAATAAAAATATCCTGATAACAACAGAATAATACAAGAATTATTTTCCTGTTTATTGACTATTCATGCAGTGTCTCGACCACCTGAAATGTATTCAATCTCTGGTTTAACAACAGCTTTCGTTTTCTTGATATTCAGGAAAAAATCCTATTACCACAATGTTTAAGACCTGTTGCCGATCTTGTGCATTTTCAGCTATCAATACTGGCATTAAACAGGCATCTGTGTTTAAATATCTAGGAATAACATACAACGTAGATGAACAAATATAGAAATCAGCATCCTATACAGGAAAGCAAACAAAGTATTGAGAAAGCTAGCCCCCTCTTACAGCACAAGCCAATCCAAGTCAGCACAGAGAATCATACAAAGCATATTCATTCTCACCTCAGACATGGTCACTCAGAGGAAATCAGAAAAGGAAATTAGTAACTATGAAAATAAGATGTTCAAGAAGGGCAGCAGCAGTGACCAGAAGAGATAAAATCAGGAATGAGGACATAAAACAAAAAGTTGGCACAGAACCAATTCTAAATTACATACAAAGAAAGCAAATTGAATGGTTTTCCCACTCAGAGAGAATGACTTGTGACATACAATAGAAGGCATATATTAAAAGAGACGGACATAAGCACAAGGCACACCAAAAGCAATATGGAAGGATAACATCAGAGAAACTCTACAACAGCACAATCTTTCTATGGCCGAGGCATCCAGAAGAGCAAGAAGCAGAAACTTTTATCTTTCTCCAACCTGAAGTGGTAAAAGAGGAGGTGAAGAAGAATTGAGTGACTGGCTGAGTGGTTGGTATAATGGGCTGTCATGTGGGAGATGTAGGTTTGAGTTCTCAGTA